TGTGTGGCCAGCTCAGCCCACCAGGGGGCGGGGCTGGCTGGCATGTGGTGCTGGGGGATTGAACCGCAGTCGCTAAGCTTGTTCTAAGTAGGTGCTTTAGACCACTGAGCCATCTCACCAGCCCTGGTCATGCACTTTGAACAGAGAACTTGGTTTTTCTTATCCCCTGATCTAGGAGCTGGACCATAGGGAATCGTATACATGTATAGCATTGTTTTATTGTGACATTAAATGATTGTCTTTATTTCTATGTTCTACTCTATCCTCGCTATGCTTTTATGAATCTTAAAAGATTTTTAGTTATATACATGACAAAGATTGAAGTACTTTTTTTGTGTAATAGGTACTATAATTGTGAAAACTGCCTTTTAATAGTTTGCCATCAAATTCTATCACCAACCAAACCCTGAAATAAATAAATATAAATAAATGGAGAGCAGTCTTTTGGTTCTAACGACTGTAAACGGCTCAGGCGTCCCCTTCGGCGTGTGGCCAGGCGCGTGTGCTCTTCTGTTCAAGGCCCGGCGTGTCTCCACCAAGTCTGGGGGCTCCTTCCAGGAACGTTAACCTGAGCAATCTGCTGCATGTCTGCAGCACCCAGTCCACACCCAGCAGTTCTGAGGTAGTGCTGAAACATGGCCAGGAGAATGGGGCTGCTTACAAGTTGGAATCTCAAGTTTAACTTCTATAGACCAAAGTTCTGGATTTATCTACTTCATTTATATCACTGGTGAGCTTTATTTTAAAATAATCTGGCGTGTGCTGAAATGCATCATGTACGTCACACCGCCACAGAAACCGAGTTCCAGGGCTCCAGGGCTAGCTCCCTAAAGGTGCGTTTCTTCTTCACACATGTTGGGTGGGGGGTGTTTTTTTTTTTTCTTGTTAAGATATTAATGTGTTGTCACCAATTATACTCTCTGCACAGACAAACCTAAAAAGCTTTAGCTAATTCATAATCTCACATAGTCCGTGATTACAAGATGCAGAACTCAAAATGCCCTGAAGTAGAACAGAACAAACGCAGTTAGCATCCATCTGTTGAGGTCTCTAGAAGTGTACTCTAGGGCTGGGAGATAGCTCAGCAATCTAAGCGCCTGCCTGGCAAGCTCAAAGACCCGGGTTTTATAACCGGGCGTGGTGGTGCTGAGGCAGGAGGATCACTAAGAGTCTGAACTGCATAGCAAAACTCTGTATCAAAAAAATTTTAGAAAAAAGTGTACTCTAGTTTCTTTCAGTAGTTTGTTACGGAGTACTTGGGGTTGACCGAATAGTGAGCCTTGTCCGCACCACCTGCTCTGACTGAGAAGCGGAAGCTTCTGGGGTCCCCTCACTGTTGACACAGGTGCAGAAACCCAGTCCCAGAGCTGTTGCCCTGGCCTTGCAGAGCAGTTTCAGTCCTCCCCAGAGGCGGAGGGCTGGGGGGCCGGGCCTAGACAGGATGCAGGCACCTTGCACCCACCTGGTCTCGCACCTGTGTGCCTTTCCGTCTGTATCCTGCACCTGGTCTCGCACCTGTGGGCCTTTCTGTCTGTCTCCTGCACCGCGGCTGCTGGGAGCTCACCAGCCCCACAGTGTGACTGCGCTGAGACAGTGTGCTTTGTGCTCACACTGTTCGTGGCCCAAGACAGTGCTGCTGTGTCTGTTTCTTCCGCTGAGTTACAGGCAATTTGAAGAAGATATATGAATAGTTTTATATATACTGTTAGCAATCAATAAATACTTGTAGATTTTTCTCCTGAGGCTATTGATTGTTTTCTTTGATGCTATAACCATTAACCTTCTCCTATATTTAACAACTTGGAACTTGTGAGCTATTTGTGATCTGTGGAGCTTTTAAGAAAAATTTAATTTTTGTTTGTTATGGATAGATATATAGTGCTTACTTCATTGTATATTTGTAAATTTTTCATACTGTCTTATTTTGTATTTTAAAATATTGAAGTAATGTTTCTTTTTGTCTTTTAGATATTGGTATATGGAGATTTGCCGAAAAATAAAGAAAATATAATATATTTAGCAAATCATCGCAGCACAGGTTTGTATTTCCTTTGCATGAAATTTAGCTTTTTACAGATGGTATGAGGACATTCAAAACCTTTTTAGATACTTAAATGAAGTGGATTTTTTTTGTAGCTGTTAAAACATGAATTTTCATTTTTAAATTTATTTTATTTTATGAATTGAGGACAGGGTCTACAGGGTGTTCAGCGTCTCGCTACGTAGATCAGATCATAGTGATGCTCCTGTTTTCAGCCTCCCCAATGCTAGGATTACAGGTGTGCGCCACTGCGCCCAGTCTTAATTGTCGTCTCAGTGCACCCCGGACGTGGGGCTGGAACCCCCGCTGCTGTGTCTGGCTGAAGCAGGCGCTTTAGTCCGCTGAGCTATCTGGCTGGCCCCAAAACGCAAATTTTCTGTGCAGGTTTTATGCCTGTCCTTGCACTTCTGTGATTTCGCTTTTTTGGTGGTCTAATGTGAAAGCTGTTTTTCTAAGCCTGTCTCTCCACTGCACGCAAAGCTGTTTTGCCCCTTTTCTTCATACCCTGCTAGCTCCTTGCTTGAGCTACCTCCCTCCCCAGGTTTTGCTTCTGGAGCAGGGTGGATGAGTCACAATGGCAAGGTGTTTCACACTTCTGGAGGTGGGGC